ATGCGCTCAGCTCACCCACTTGCCCTGCCTTGGGAACGAGATTTCCAGATGGTGGGGATACGATGCTTGGTGGAATGGTGTGACGTTTGCTATAGGAAGGCAGCAAGGCAATTTCTTACTATTAGTTCTGCTCAGCTCTAGAAAATGTTTTCCTTAATTGCCAAAAGCTTTCCCAACTCAGTTCAAAACTCGAGTTCAATTAAAGGAGGCTCTGCAATTCAGCCTCCTTTACCAGAATTCAATCTTGGGCTGGGGTGGGGAGAGTGGAGAATGAATGAAAATATGTCTGTACAACCGCTGCCACCGCTGCCTCGTGATACCCAGATTCACCATGTTCTTGTTCCGTCTGTCTTCATTGTCTTCCTAACGCCAGGTTCGGTTGTGGGCTCTGAGTTTTATTATGCAGATAGGCAGTTTCTGTTTGCTCTACAGATTCACAGCTGTGTGATAGCAACTGGATATTATCACCGGAAAACAGTAAAATACAACATACCCTACACCCATGTTTGGGAGGCAGTGGGAATCACTGGTTTAGAAAATTCTTGGGACTCAGTTCTCTTTTCCTTTTGGCCTCGGTGCATGTCAAGAGGAGATGGGAAATCTGGTTGACCTGACATTTCTTCATACTGTTGTAGGCACGTTGCCTTCAAGCCTCAGTCTCTCTAAATGTGTATGTGTTGAGATCTTTTCCACTAGACCAGCATCAGCAGGGTCTGGTTTGTGGTGTTAAGTACTCCCCTGCTGTTGGGCTGGGGCTTTGAACAGTTTGCCCTTTATAAGCCTCCAGCATTAATAAGGAAAGACTGAGGGGCACACAAGGGGGTGTTTATAGAATGGGTTATATAAAACTCCTAGCTGCCTCGTAAAATAAGAATTCCTCGCTAAGGGGGCTTTTGAGCAAAGGCAGTTTCTTCACAGGAGCCAAACATACAGTCTCTCCCTTCAGCTCATAAAACCACATCTCAGTAGAAAAGGGACATAATTCAAAGAACAGCTTTGTATCACCCAGGTAGGCAGGAGACTTGGGACTTAGTGGCTGTGAGCTCCTGCGTTTTCACAGAGGCTTGCTTGTCCTGGACTTTGCAGCCTGAACTATAAGTCTGGCTGTCTTTGAAAAGCCTGCTGTGGTGGCGTGCTGTCACATGGGAGGCTGAAGGCATGTTAGTACCTTCTGGAAGGAAACAAAAAATATGAGATGGGAGCTTGGGTGTAAGAGTGAGGAAGTTAAAATGAAGGCACAGGAGGGCTCCCTTCTCCTGTACGATGAATTCTAGAGAGTTAGTTGATGGTAATGTCCCACCCATTGCTGACATTCATTCATTCTACAGGTGATTCCTGGGTGCCTGCTGCTGCCGAGAGTAGAAAGCTAAGACACAGTCTGGTCCCTCCCATTGCAGAGCTTGCAGCATACCCTTCGTTATTACTTAAGATACTTTTGGCCAGGTGCGGTGGCTCAAGCCTGTAATCCCAGCACTTTGGGAGGCCGAGGCAGGTGGATCACGAGGTCAAGAGATCGAGACTATCTTGGTCAACATGGTGAAACTCCATCTCTACGAAAAGTACAAAAAATTAGCTGGGCACGGCGGTGCGTGCCTGTAATCCCAGCTACTCAGGAGGCTGAGGCAGGAGAATTGCCTGAACCCAGGAGGCGGAGGTTGCAGTGAGCTGAGATCACACCATTGCACTCCAGCCTGGGTAACAAGAGTGAAACTCCATCTCAAAAAAAAAAAAAAAAAAAAGATACTTTTTATTTCTTTACCTCAACATGACTAAAGATACTTTTCAGTGGTAACATTTTTAAGAGAAAGTTGCCTTTTAAGAGAAAGCAACAGCCTGTGACCTACTGTGCTGTGTTTTCTTCATATATAAAATGAGAATATTAATAATGGTTTCACAGGGTTGAAATAATACATAGAAAAAGTAAGCGCAGTGGCTGGCACATAGGGTTACCTCTCTTCTTATTTTGGTATCTCCTTGCTGTTGCCTCCCTGGATGGAGTGCCAGAAAGCATGGAGGAAGAAGAAAAACTTAAAAGATCCCAAACAAGGCCGGGCGTGGTGGCTCACGCCTGTTAACCCAGCACGTTGGGAGGCCGAGGCGGGTGGATCACGAGGTCAAGAGATCGAGACATCGAGACCATCCTGGTCAACATGGTGAAACCCTGTCTCTACTAAAAATCCAAAAAAAATTAGCTGGGCATGCTGGCGCGTGCCTGTAATCCCGGCTACTCAGGAGGCTGAGGCAGGAGAATTGCCTGAACCCAGGAGGCGGAGGTTGCGGTGAGCCGAGATCGCGCCATTACACTCCAGCCTGGGTAACAAGAGCGAAATTCCATCTTAAAAAAAAAAAAAAGATCCCAAACAAGATGACAGACTCTCTTGATCACCAAGATTAATAAGCCTGTTTACTTCACTGTCCACAGCGTCCACATCCTTAGTATTCTCCAGCAGCCTTAGAGGCATACATGGGAACTCCTCAGAAGGAAAGAAAAGAAATGTAGATTAGGGGGAAAGTCCTATAGGAAATTAAAGTGGAAAGTGGGGAAGAGGAAAGAATATGCAGGGTGATAGCAGCTGGTTCAATAAAAGTCTCTTTATTCTTTGAACAATCAAGAGAGTAGGTGTGGCTGGACATGGTGGCTTATACCTGTAATACCAACAATTTGGGAGGCTGAGACAGGCAGATCAGGGGTTCGAGACCAGCCTGGGCAACATGGCGAAACCTCATTTCTACTAAAAATACAAAAACATAGCTGGATGTGGTGGTGTGGAGGCTGAGGTGGGAGGATCGTGTGAGTCCAGGAGGTAGACGTTGCAGTGAGCTGAGATTGTCCCATTGCGCCCCAGCCTGGGTGACAGAGCCAGACCCTGTCTTGAAAAAGAGAGTAGGCTGGGCACAGTGGCTCACATCTATAATCCCAGCACTTTGGGAGGCTGAAGTGGGTGGATCACCTGAGTTCAGGAGTTTGAGACCAGCCTGGCCAACATGGCAAAACCCCATCTCTGCTAAAATCAAAAATTAGGCATGGTGGTGGGTGTCTGTAATCCCAGCTAACTGGGAGACTGAGGCAGGGGAATCGCCTGAACCCAGGAGGCAGAGGTTGCAGTGAACCGAGATCATGCCATTGTAGTCCAGCATGGGCAACAGAGCAAGACTTCATCTCAAAAAAAAAAGAGAGAGAGAGAGATTGAGAGTGGATGTGGACAGTGGCCTTCTTATCTTTAGGTTCTTAAATCAGAGGCAAATTAATTTCTCAGAGTGAGGCTGCTCATTTTTTATGAGTTTGTTAGTCAAAGTTGTATTTTTTTTTTTTTTTTTTTTTTGACACAGAGTTTCTCTCTTGCTGCCTGGGCTGGAGTGCAGTGGTGGGATCTTGGCTCACTGCAGTCTTTGCCTCCCGGTTTCAAGAGATTCTCCTGCCTCAGCTGGAGACTCTCCTGCCCGTATCTGGGACTACAGGGATACACCACCATGCCTGGCTAATTTTCACATTTTAGTAGAGATGGGGTTCCACTATATTGGTCAGTCTGGTCTTGAACTTCTGACCTCGTGATCTGTAGCCTTGGCCTCCCAAAGTGCTGGGATTATAGGCATGAGTCACCATGCCCAGCAATTTTGTATTTTCACTAGAGACAGGGTTTCTCCCTGTTGGTCAGGCTGGTCTCGAACTCCTGACCTTAGGTGATTCACTGACTTTAGGTGATTCACCCACCTTGGTCTCACTCCCAAAGTGCTGGGATTTCAGGCATAAGCCGCCACGCCCAGCCTGGAATGTCTCTTAAAGGAATTAGGGCCATATGATTTTTCATTTTTAATTTGCAAAGCTATGCTGGTCAGTCCTTAGAGGCAATGTATAAAGGCCATAGCTGTATTAAGGTAAAATTTGTTTCTCCTTTGAGGTCCCCAGTCAGTACTTCCTGATTTTGATCAGTTTGTTATAAAACTCATTTTTTATGCACTGTAATACATGAGAGAGTGGATTAGAAAAAGGCTTTTTTTGTTTTTTGTTGTTTTGTCCTTGGAGTGAGCCAAGCTTTGGTAATGTTAAAATTTAAAAATAGGCTGGAGGCCGGTTGCAATGGCTCACACCTGTCAGCCCAGCACTCTGGGAGGCTGAGGCCAGAGGATTGCTTGAGCCCAGGAGATTGAGGCTGCAGTGGGCGATGATCATACCACTGAACTTCAGCGTGAGTGACAGAGCAAGACCCCATCTCTTTAAAAAAGAAAGAAAAAAGAACATAGACTATTTTCCAGAGCACAAGATTGAAGACAGTTGTTAGAACTCCTGGATTTTTATGTCTGTTTCAGTTCACCCAGCCCCATGTGTTGAGCAACCAAGTCCAGTACCTGACTTAGGGGGCCAAGAGGCACTGAGAGCTTCTTCCCAATGAACCTGCAGTGGAGTAGGTCCCTTTAGACTTGCCTTTCATTCTCATCTTGGAAAAACTCATACACGGCTTCCTAAAGGAAACGACCACACTATGGTTTCACTTTGAAATTAAAAACATCTCCTAATTAGTTTATGGAGCATATTCTGGCTCATTGCTTTGCTTAGTACCAGCACAAGAAACACCAGTGGGTCAGCCCCATAGCTTTCCCCGCAGATCTGGAGCCTAGAACCTGTATTCTGGATACTCGAACACTTCTACTCAGAAAGCGTTTAGAATTTGCGCTGATGACTTCCTAGTCCTAACTTAAGTCTCCACTGTAGGTGTTGTTATTCCTGCAGACAAGCTAGCAGCTTTTATGCTTGGACAAACATGGTTGAAGGACCTGCTTAGCAATTTCATGTTCATAGTTTCATTTAATTCCCTGAAGAACCCTCTGAAGGAGAAGGTGTTATTAGCTCTGTTTTGTAGATAAGGAATTAAAGTCAAAAAAGATTATTTAAATATGTCCTACTTTGTACCCATAAAAAGTAAAATTTTAAAAATGACTTACAATCCACACAGCTTATAGTTGGCAGAATTAGACCTCCAGAAAGTTAAGCCCAAGTTTCGATCCTTTTGTATTCACGTATGCACAATGATTGGGTTTTTACCATCACGTGTGAGATGTGTCTCCTTCAAGCTTGTTACCACGCATAAGCAAGTGATCAGTCCCACGCAGGGGGAAAAAACTCGTTTTCTGACTCCAAATCCAAGGCTGCTTCATCCCCAACTTGTCCTTAACAAAGAGGCATAAGGGGCTTCAGATGCGGGGGGACTGTCCTGCTTCCTGTGGGCCTTGGGGAAAATCCCTGGCTTTCCTGGGCTTTAGCTTCCCCATTAGTGAACAGGTCTGATAACAACTCTCCCTTCCCACAATCTTATGATGCTCGAGGTCAAAGGAGTGATGGGTCGGAAAGATTATTTGAAAACACTTTGTAAACACAAGGCATTAGCTTATGACTTTCACAAATGTTAGCTTCTTTAGATTTCTGGGCAATTTCCTTTTGGTTTCATTGGAAGAAATGTGGCGGAATTTGGATTTTTAAAAATAATATTTATAACAGCAATTTCTTGCCATATTACTGCATTGAACTCAAATCCTGGAATTTCCCAAAACCACTTAAAAATTAATTCTGGTCAAGCAAACAGTTTGTACTCAAAGCAGTAAACTGGATCCTTGCTCATTAAACCAGTCTAGACGCCCAGGTTGATGTCTCACATTTTGCTCCCTACCTTTAAACAGATGTAATCATTGTGGTCTTGTGAATCTCTCAAGCCAGCTCCTTCGCCCTCCCATCTTTTCCTTCCTTCCATAACTCAGGCTTATATTCAGTGTTGAGCTTAGTTGCATATGTTCCTATGGGAACAAGGGTCGAAGCCCCCGTGGCTCTTCTGCTTTCAGAGCCTCCTAGCAGCCTCTAATGAACGATCTTCAGGCACCAGACCTCCCAGTGGCACTGCCCAGATGTCCCAGTGCAGTGACAGCCCTCCAGCCTAAAGATGGCATCAGCAAAGCAGGGTGTCAGTGAAAAGCATCTCTACAGTGGAAGCCAGTTCAAGGAACTCCAGATGTGGTCCCTTGGCAGCCTTCTGTAAAGGGTGGAAGGGGACAGCCCCTGAAGAGAGTCTAAGGAGGCATCTGAATTTGAAGGGAGTGAGCTCTGTCAGAACACTCAGCATAGCTGCATTGCCACAGCTCCCAGGGTTCTGTCATTGATGTGCGTGGCCCAACTTTGGTACCATCTCTGTGTCGTTCACAGTCTGATGCTTTTGATTAATTTCGTTATTCTGACTACTGAAAGCAACTGATGAGAAGTTAAGACATAAAAGTTCAGAGGAGCCAGGCACTGTGATATATGCCTGTAATCCCAGCTACTGAGGAGGCTGAGGCAGGAAGATCACTTGAGCCCAGGAGTTTGAGACCAGCCTGGACCACATAGTGAGACCCTGTCTCAACAAAAAATGTTCAGAGGATTCTCATATTGTTGTGTACTACAACAGGGATAATTTCGTATCCAAGGTTTCTGGTGTTTCAGAAACAGACACATGTTGCCCGCCTGCCAGGATCTGAGGAAACCAGTCTGTGCTGTTAGAGGAAGGGCCCCAGAACACCAAAGATGAGTGTTCCCATTACCCCCAAAATTAGGGGAGGAGACCAAAAACCTTTTTCAGATGAAATTATTTAAACTGAGCTTTCTGGATGGTAATAGATAATTGATACTCTTTTGGCATCTGCAAGACATCGTCCTCAAAGTGCTGGTAAACTATCTGCCCACAAATGACCCGCACATCTCCTACCCTACCCTCAGACCTGTTGAGTGTAACTACCTCTTCCCTTTGTTTTCTCAGCATTAATAATAAGCTACAGCAGCCAGAGGCAGCAGCTGGAGTGTTGGAATATGCCATGAAACACTTTGGAGAGCTGGTAAGCCCCTCATTCCTTTGGAAAAGTGGACATAGAAACTTGGCTAGGGAGGTGTAGGCCCTGACCTTTAGAAAGTTGCTTTCCTTTTCTGTTTTCTCCCCAATTCGTAACAGTCTAATACTGACTTACCTATCTTCAGGATGAAAGAGACAAACAATGGGCCAGACTGAGTGGCTCAGGCCTGTAATCCCAGCACTTTGGAAGGCTGAGGCGGGCAGATCACCTAAGGTCAGGAGTTCAAGACCAGCCTGACTAACATGGTGAAACCGCGTCTCTACTAAAAATACAAAAAAAAATTAGCCGCACATAGTGGCAGGCACCTGTAATCCCAGCTACTCAGGAGGCTGAGGCAGGAAAATCACTTGAACCTGGGAGGTGGAGGTTGCAGTGAGCTGAGATCACGCCATTGCACTCCAGCCTGGGCGACAGAGCAAGACACTGTCTCAAAAAAAAAAAAAAAGTAAGAAAGAAACAGTGTTGTAGGGACTATATTTCAGCTGAACATAAATCATGAGGGTAGACGTGAATACACAGTAAGCACTGATTTTATCAAACTCTTAGCATGTGCCTGGCCCTTGGCTAGGTGTTTATATACTTCATCTAATTTGGTCCTCACAACAATGCTATAGTGGTTTCTGGGGTTTTTTTCTTTCTTTCTTTCTTTTTTTCTACTTGCTGTTGATTTGTAGAAGTGGTTACTGTTGTTATCACATTTTACAGCTGAGAAGACTGTGGTCCCAGCAGGTTAAGAACCTGTTTGAGGCCGGGCGCAGTGGCTCATACCTGTAATCCCAGCACTTTGGGAGGCCAAGGCGGGTGGATGGTCAAGAGATGGAGACCATCCTGTTCAACATGGTGAAACCCCGTCTCTACTAAAAATACAAAAAATTAGCTGGGCGTGGTGGCGTGTGCCTGTAATCCCAGCTACTCAGGAGGCTGAGGCAGGAGAATTGCCTGAACCCAGTAGGCGGAGGTGCAGTGAGCCGAGATCGCACCATTGCACTCCAGCCTGGGTAACAAGAGCAAAACTCTATCTCAAAAAAAAAGAACCTGTTCTGTTTGAGCTGACATAGAGGATAAATGGCAGAACCAGGACTTGAACCAGGGCGGTCTGACATTGGAGCCAAGGCATTTGCCCCTGATCTGAGTTATCTTTGTGGGAGCTTGCGTTGTGTCTAGGCCACAGCTAATCCTCACTGAATACTTAGGAAGACACAGTGGCAGTTCTTCAGAAAATATATGCCATAATTGATACCTGACATTGAGGGATTTTTGTGTTCGTCATTGCTTACATAGCTGCTTCTCTACTGCCATCTTTGGCGTTCCAATATTTAAAATGTTTCTGTTATTCTTTGTGGTCTTGGCAGGGCATTTTGATAACTTCCAAAATATATGAAGCATCAACTTAGCATTGAATTCCTGGAAGGTCAAGAAGCTCTAGATCCATATATTTGACGAGGAACCTTTCATTAGTCATGCAGGTCGTTTACTGTGGTTTGCCTTGATCAGGAGCCCAGGATATTAAAGTGAGAAAAATAGTGAATATTTAACATCACTTTGATCATCAGCATTTTGCCTCACAGACAGGCTAATAAATTAGAATGAAACTTTTAAGGGAATCTTTTGCTCTCTTTAGCACATATTGTCTGTAACTAGACTAAGACAGCATTTCTCCAGATGATGGCACAATAGAAAGAACTATGTCTCATCCATCCTTTTCACAATCCTTGTTTGCAGAGAGAAGAAAGTAGGGCGAGAGGGCACTTAATGTACTCCACCTAGACCAAGATGTTCTCTCCTTTGATATCCTTAGAGCTTAGATCTCAGTAAGTGCTGATTGAAACAAGGAGTCTTCAGACATCTGGTATTCAGGTGGTCTACCAGCAGATGGTTTATACCCCATACTCAGAATGCCAACCTTCTGTGAAAGTTTCTCCATCTTCAGGTTCCAAAGGTGGCCATTAACTCCAGGATTATTGCTAAACCCATGGTGGATTTTCTGTTATATTTAGGTAGCTGAATCATATTAAGCTTGACAATGGTTTGCTTTTTCTTGGCAGAGCCTGTGCTTTCTCAGCACAATTTATGTAACAGCAGTCTCATTAGAATTTTGTGTGATTCACTGCTTAAACCTTATAGTTTCTGCTATCTGTTGCAATTCAAAATATCCTGCCCTCTAACTGACCCACTCCATATTGCTGCTCCCCTCCCCTCTGCTTGTTCACGTTGAGTGTATGCCACACATTAGTCACCAGCTCTTTTTTTTCTTTTTCCACCAGTGTAGAAATTTGAAATGAGAAATTTACCAGTGCTTTTAAATTTTATATTGTTTTTGTAGTCACTCTTTTAAGTTTTCTCTTTTGTATGTAGGCATAATAGGCATTACTTTGGACAGGCTTGGAAAAGGAAGTTGAGATAGTTTGCCTTACATGGAGCCAGATATGCCCATTTTAACAAACTCCACTGATGTTGGGTGAAGACTTCATGGCAGCAGAATTAGTCCAGGGGCAGCAGAGGGCACTCGCTCTGCCAGAAGGAACCAGAGAAGGGGAAGTAGGTACAAGGGAACAGTCTCTGACATAAATGACCTCCTTTCAGAGGTTCAAGAAGAAAAGGTTATTTTAGACAGCTTAGCAGAGTAGTTGTCAGTCTAAATACTGCACAAACATCAGTTTTACTTAGAAGGGGGAAGAGAGTAATGGGAGAAACTAGTGTGGGTCCTGCATTATATCATACAGATTTCACTGCAGAATCACATTCTTGTTAAATAAATCCCTAGAGAGCTGCTACCCTTGCCTGTGCAAAAATAGTCATTTATTGAGCTGGTGATGAAGCAGCCCAGGAGAGAAACTGAGATGGAGGGCAGACAGAAAGCAAATAAAATAGTCTCCTGATCATTTAGAGAGGCATAGTCTATAACTTTCAGCCTGTAGCACCTCCTACTCACGTGGACAATACCCAGTTTCAGCATGGCACACCATCTGCTAGGGTAATGGAATCCCTCCTTTGGCCCCGACACTGGTAAACCTGCCAAGCACTGAGCTGGAGGGATCATTGGAGGGGAGACTCTAAAAGAGTAGGAGAAAGGCTTTCCAAAGAATTTTAAGTGGTGGTGTTATATTTTAAATTATTATTTCCTGAAAGTTTAAAAATGCATTAAAAAATGCAGAGGATCAAGAGCTTTTAACAAGTGAGTTGTTTTCCTCCAGCAAATATGCACATGAGGCCTGGTCTTTCTGGCCCCATCAGGA